TTCCCCGGACCCCCCATCCCACCCATTGCAGTCTCCCTGGACCCCCCAGCTGGTCATGGTCACAGTCTCCTTGGACCCGTTCCACCAGTCGCAGTCTCCTGGGACAGCCCCACCCATCTCAGGCTCCCTGGACACCTCCCCCGACCCATCACAGTCTCCCAGGTCTCCCTCCCAGCCATCACAGTCTCCCCAAATATCTCCCCATCCATTGCAGTCTTCTCAGACCCTCTCCTCCCACCGATCACAATCTCCCAGGACCCCCCTCTCCCAGCCCACATGCAGTCTCTCCAGGAACACCTTCTTGGAGTCCAGACACTCAGGTGCCTTGGAAGGGGCATCAGTGGTGAGAAGGGGTCTTGCTCCAGCTCATGAGCGGGATGTGTATTGAGTGTTTACTCTGAGCCAGATCCAGGTGGGACTTAGTGCATGGTGTGCATTTTCTCACTAGACTCAACCACACACGTAGCCATGCATGTGGTTATCTTCACTTCACTCAAAGGGAAATGAGGGTGAGAGAGGGTTGGTGACCCACCCAAGGTCACCGTAGCAGTGGTGCACTGGGAGGTGAGCCCAGAGCTGCTGAAGAACTTAAGATTCATCACTGTAACACCATCCTGCCAGCTGCTATGGCTCAGGCCCCCATGGTTGCCCAGCAGACCAAGTGAGGAAGAACCTGGGTTACCTGCAGGCCTTGGGGAAGGAGAGCCAGATGGTTTGCAGCACCGCCCCTGGGGTAGGAGAGTCATGGCACTTGGGCCATGTTTGCCATCCCTGCTTTCAACTCACGTGATGCCATCTCAAAGCATCTGGCTAGGATTGCTACTCAGAAATAGGGCCCACCTTATTCCACATGGTTAGAGGGGAGAAAGGTCACCTTGCTTCAAAAGGTGCCTGGCACCTCACACGCCATTGCCATCTGCTAGATGCCTCCACCCTCAGTTTCCATAGAGGGGCAAGGCTACATGGTCTCTACAGAACGCTCCAGCTCTCTGCCAGGATGGATTCATGGAGACTGATGGCTTTTTGCTGTACTACTAGAATTCACTTTTTGTTGGGAAGATGTAGGTACCTCGGGCCAGCAATGGGCCTTGGGAAGGAGCCAATATCCCTGCTCTGGTTGGCATCCCCAGGGGAGGATATGGTGAAAGCAGAGATGAGAGGATGTCATAGCCCCTTTCTGCTGATTTCAGAGCTTGGGTTAAGCCAGTCTGCTCCAAGGTGTATTGCAGGAGAGCAGGGGCAGAGGGACAGGGGTGGGAGGAGGCGAGATGGGGCAGGAGTGTGTGAACCCCACTCACACTGGCTGGAACTGCTTCTGCAGCTTTGTCAGGAATCAGCCAAGCTGGCCTAGACACCTAGCCATGGCACGGCCCAACAGGGCCGCATTTGCCTCGGGGTAAATTGATATGCCACCAGCCAGGTGGGCTGATGTTGGAATCCACAGGTTCCTGGCCTGTGAGGGGAAGGAGCTTAGAGAGTATGTTCACCAGCCCTTCCCCAGTGATGGACATGGAAAAGGACTGAAGCTCAGTGTTGGGGGCACACTGCTTCAGACCCAGGGCCAGTTAATGGCAGAGGGGGGACATGAGTCTGCTGTGGGACTCTGAGGGGGACTGTCAGGCCCGTGATTCACTCAGGTGTATGATGGCTGACTGGAGCCTATTGGTGGCAGGAAAACAATCTTCAATCTCTTTCAGCACAGGGCCTCTGCCTCTTGGAATCTGGCTACACGAAGTAAATAGGACCATTTCTCCACGTCTTCATGAGTGGCCAGTTTGGGCAACTCCACTCATGACAGATGAGGACACAGGGTCTCATCTCACACCAAGAGTCCTGCCCCACCGAGAGGATGCAGCTTCCGGCATCTCACTCAGGACCCGGTTCCCAGGGAAACCAGGCCGTTCTTATCAGCAAAACGGTGCCCATGTTACAAACTGACATGTGAGACCTCCTCTCCACACCAACACCCCCAGCCAATGGAATGGGAGCTTCAGATCAGGTACCTACTCTGTGGAGACATTGACAATGGTGGTCCGAGCAAAGTGACTGCTCCAGTCTGAAAGAGAAAGAAGTTGCTGGCTCCTCAGTTGCTGTGGGGCACCAGAGTTCAAGGTTCCTGGACGAATGCCTGGGGTCTGGAGATGCTTGCCTTTGTCCTCCTCTTCCTTCCGGTTCCCCAGAGCTTGTCCCCAACTTTTAACAAAAACATCAGAGGCCTCTTTTCCCTGGCACTGCTGACTGGGGCTCTCGGGAGGAAAGCGTGCACACTTCTTTGTGTGGTATCTCCAGGGCACGATTGGCGCATAATGGACACCCAGTGAATGCTTGTTGAAGGTACCAGCCATCCAGCCATGAGCAGAATGATGACATTAGCAACACTATTACCACTGGCAATGTCCAGAAAAGGCAACACTGCCTTATTCAGAGGAAATCCTTCTGGCTAGGTGTATTAGTTTGACGGTTTGGACACTCCCTTGTAAAATGTGTCTAAAAATCCTGCATGATATTATCACTGCCAACATACCAGCTCTTAGGATAAGACAAGACAAGGACTCAGATGTTACTCTAGTAGTGGAATTTGGTGGCATGGACACTGTGTGCTAAACTGAATTCAGGTCTACCTCTGGCCAAGGACAAACAGGTAGAAACCTGAGGAATCAAGATAAAGCTGGTTTCCACTGGGGCATTTAAGGTGCTATTCTGCACCACCCAGTTGTGCAGTCTTCACACAGCTTCGTTCAGCTTCATGATTCTAAGTGAAATACTACCTGCTATTCATTGAGCATCTACTACGTATATCAAGCACTGTGTAGGTATGTGATCTCCCAATCCCTAAGACAGCTGAGGAAAGTGAAGCTCGGGAGACTGATTTGCCATATACTAGGTTAAATCACATGTTAGCGGCCAGGCGTGGTGGCTCATGCCTGTAATCTCAGCACTTTGCGAGGCTGAGGCAGGCGGATCACTGGAGGTCAGGAGTTTGAGACCAGCCTGACCAACATGGTGAAACCCCGTCTCTACTAAAAATATAAAAATTAGCCAGGTGTGGGGGCAAGTGCCTGTAATCCCAGCTACTCGGGAGGCTGAGGCAGGAGAATCACTTGAACCCAGGAGGCAGAGGTTGCAGCGAGCTGAGATTATGCCATTGCACTCCAGCCTGGGCGACAATAGCAAAACTCTGTCTCAATAAATAAATAAATAAATAAATAAATAAATAAATAAATAAAATAACATATTAACTAGGCAAAGGTATTTTCTGGGGTGCAGGTGTGGGTAAACATTGTGGAGTCCTGATTTCTCTGTTTTGGAAGCCCAGGTCTCATCCACAATGCTGTTCTGTCCGAAGGGCTTACCCTCTTCCAGTGAGTGGGAGCAGAGGTCCCACAAGACAAATTCTGCACTTACAGTGTTATGTCCAACAGAATGGGTTCAGGGATCTTTGCAGTGGGTCACATGTCACAAAAGGATCCCCAGGAACACCCAGCCAGAGTGGGGCCGTGAATGAACACTCAATTCCCAACTGAATTAATACTATGTGCCTGCTGTGTGCCAGGCCCTGGGCCAAACCTGTGACAAAGGAGGAATCGTCTCCAGTCTCCACCTGACAGAAGTGAAGCATGGCTTGTCCAGGTTCACACAACAACAAACTCCAAGAGGCAGGATTAAAATAGATGTCTAGACCCTCAACCCCAGCCCTGACTGGCTTGCCTGGCTGCCTCTCAGGTCCAGCGGCTGCCCTGGGGCCCACTGAGCTCTGCCTACCCAGAACGGATCCAGTATAGTTGATGGGCAAAATGATGCCCAGGGAGGGGATGCAGATGATGAGCACGAAGATGATGAGGTGGTACTGGAACACGATGTAGATGCGTGCGTCGTCCCCACACTTGTTAATCAGATCCTCGTCCCTGGAAGAGACACATAGACAAGGACATGCCTCGGGAGCCAGCGTGGCCACCACTTGTTGCAGGGAGGTAGAGGGAAGGACAGCAAATGATCACCGCCTCCCCAAGTTTTTTGTTTTTTTTTTTTTTAAATATTGCCCTATATCTCAAAGCCTCTGTTATCCCTGAAGTATACCTTAACTGAATTTCACAGACATATCAAAGATAGGGGCTCTGTTACAGATACACACTCAGGAATCCAGAAACACTCTCGAAATAGAGCGTTCATTCATCCTTTTATTACTTCTTCAAACATTTTGAGTGGTTGCTATGGTGCAGCCATACCACCAGACAAAGCATTCGTGGTATTGAGAGGCAGCCTATTAGGAAAAAAGGAACACCTGAAACCCATGATGAGATAACAAGCTATCGCTCCACACTGCCATATTTGCCAAAGTTGGAAAGTTGGACAACACTAAGTGTTGGTGAGAGTGTGGGGCATTGGGAGCTCTCCTGTTCTCACGGGTGTATACACTGGCCCAGTTACACTGGAGAACAGTTGATATTATCTACTGAAATGGAAATCAGCCACATTCTATGACCTAGCGATTCCACTCCTAGGTTTACACTGAACAGAAATGCAAGACGGGTACCCAGAGACATGTATAAAAATTTCATAGATGCATTACTTGTAACATCCTCAAACTGGAAACAACTTACATGTCTATCAAGGTGAAATGGACACGAGAACTGTGATATATAAATCATGAAATACTATACAGCAGTGGTCCCCAACTTTTTTGGCACCAGGGACCAGTTTTGTGGAAGACAATTTTTTCAATTGTTTCTGTGGTCACTGCCCCAGTTCAGGTCACCAGCACCTCCCACCTCGACCATTGGAATAGCCTCCTTAACTGCTCACCTTGACTTTGGACTTTCTCTAAGGCCATTCACTCTCCACACTTCTGCCTAAACACATATATCATTTTGACTTTCCTGCTTGAAAATACTAATTGACTCCCTACTATCTCTAGATGAAAGCCCAAGATTCTCAGTATGCCAGTCAAGATCCCAGCTGAGGCCCAACGTGGTGGCTCATGCCTGTAATCCCAGCACTTTGAAATACTGAGGCAGGTGGACCACCTCAGGTCAGGAGTTCGAGGCCAGCCTGGCCAGCATGGTGAAACCCTGTCTTTACTAAAAATACAAAAATTAGCAGGGCATGGTGGCGCGTGCCTGTAATCCCAGCTACTCAGGAGGCTGAGGTAGGAGAATTGCTTGAACCCAGGAGGCGGAGGTTGCAGTGAACTGAGACTGTGCCACTGCACTCCAACCTGGGCGACACAGAGAGACTCTGCCTCAAAAAAAAAAAACCCAACTGATCCTTCCAGCCCAATCTTTTACCCTCCCCTGCCACATTTACCATGAAATCTTGCTTCTAACCACACCAGATTTACCATGTCTGGGTACACCCTACTCATCTCTGCAACAAACTGGCTCACACAGTCCTTTACTTTTGTTTTGTTTTGTTTTGTTTTCTGAGTTGGAGTCTCGCTCTGTCACCCAGGCTGGAATGCAGTGGCATGATCTCGGCTCACTGCAAGCTCCGCCTCCCGGGTTCACACGATTCTCCTGCCTCAGCCTCCCGAGTAGCTGGGACTACAGGTGCATGCTACCACGTCCAGCTAATTTTTTGTATTTTTAATAGAGATGGGGTTTCACCGTGTTAGTCAGGATGGTCTCGATCTCCTGACCTCGTGATCCGCCCACTTCGGCCTCCCAAAGTGCTGGGATTACGGGCGTGAGCCACCGCGCCCAGCCATAGTCTTTTACTTCTGATGTGCCCTCCACATCCCACATCGCGCCTGTTGAAGCTCTTCCTGTCCTCTAATGCCTAGCTCAAAACTGTACTTTTCCAGTTGGAATTCCTTTATCTCTTCCCCAGATGCCCTCTGCATGGCAATTATAACCCTCCCATTCTGAATTCTACGAAGGGAGTCTTGTTCACCTTTATTTCTCCAACCAGATCGCGTGCGTTTGTGCATGGGGACTCTGCTTGACTTACTGCTGCTCAGTAAACGCATTAAACTGTCTTCTATGACACTGCTCTCAAGGGGTGCTGGATGCACGGTGCAATGCCCTGCCTTCCTGCTTTCCCAGATGCTGAGTCCCTGACAGAGGGGCCTCCATGATAGGAGTCTTTGGGTAAGGGTGGGGTGGAGGGGTTTAAAGGACGGGCAGGACAGGACAGATGGAGCACACTGAGGGAGAGCCCATGAGTATGTGGGGTCTGACGTGGAGGAAGAGCTGTGTGCACACATGCTCGTGTGTGTGCGTGTATATATGAGTGTGCACGCGTGTATGCCTATGCAGTGGGAACACAGAGTTCTGGTAAGTGTCTGCACTGCTGAAGCGTCTGGCTGGTGTTGAGGAATCAGGAGAAAATAGGTAACTTGAGGTTGGCTTGCAGGAGAAAACGGGTGACTTGGGATCTGCTGTTTTGCAAAGTGGGATCTGGCATTCAAGAAACCCAGAAGGTGAGGTGGGCAAGGGCTGCCCCTCTGCTCTCCAGGCACCGAGGCCGAGAGAGGCCTGCCCTTCCGCCGGATGTGTTTGCTTGGGCAGAAGGGCGAACACATGATATGCTGAATGATGTTCACAGAAATCAAGCAGATAGCACAAAGGAAGGATTTCTTTTTCCTCGTGTGGAGTTCACAGAAGCATTTCTATAAGCATGTGAGTAATGATTCAGCTATTAAAAGTGGTCCTTCCCTGAGGGGCAGTGGGCTGTGCCCAGTTCCCACTTCACCAATTGTCACCCAGGAAAGCCTCCTTCACTGGTGATGGGCCGAGGTGGTGGGGAGGGTATGGAGCTCAGGCCCTGTCATCCCAGGCTGGGGGCTGCTAACTTTTCTAGGAGCCTCCACCCCCTATCCCCAAGGCAACACAGTCACAAGCTCACAGAGCCTGGGCACTTACTTCATGGTTATGCTGTTGAAGAACCAGGAACAGAAGCCCTGTGGGGAAAGGAGAGAAACTGTGAGAAAACTCAGGCTCTGGCCTGCCCTGCCCAGCTCTGGGAACCCAGGCGGCCGGGTCATCTGAGGCAGCCGCGGCAGTGTCCGGGGCCTCCTTCCCGGGAAAAAGAGTCTGAAGGCTCAGTTGGGAACCAGTGACTGTGGAGGGAGAAGCTTCCTTGGAAATGAGGGGACATCTCTGCCTTCCTGTTACAGGAAATGGGGTTCAGAAGGTGACTCTTGAACTGGAGGGGGAGAAGTGACTCCTTCTGGGGTGAACGTCTGTTGCTCTCTGTCCATCCTTCATGCTTCCTTCCGGAGATGCCCTTCCCTGGATGCGTGTGGTCCAGTGGGCTCCTACTTTTACTCTGTCCAAGTGGGAATTTGCCTCCAGTGACTGACTGGCCAATGGGAACTTCACCCAAGCGGGGCCAATTAAAATTTCCTTAAGGAAGCCAGGCATGGTGGCTCACACTCTTAATCTCAGCAGCTCAAGAGGCTGAGGCAGGTGGATCACTTGAGCCCAGGAGTTTGAGTCCAGCCTGGGCAACACAGCAAGACCCCACTTACTAAAATTTTAAAAAAAAAAATCCCTTAAGGAGATTGATATGGGTGTTGCAAGGGAGAAGGTCTCTTTCCCTCTGAATTCCTGCACCTCGGTAAACATCATGAAGCCTGGAGTGGTTTGGTGGCATCTTTGATGCCATGTGCTGAGGGTACTGTCCTGTTGATACCTTTCTCTTGGGGTCTTGCTGTCTTGAGTTTCTGGGTGGTGGGGAAAGGTGGCCTCAGCCATGGGGAGATTGGTGGGGGACTAGAGAGAGTCGTCTTTGGAATGGTGTGTAAGAGCGGGGGCTGGGGCCTGCAACTCTAGAAGCTGCCAGCTCTGGTAGCTGGTGAAGTTACCCTGGTGCCTGCTTCTTTCTGGGATCCCAGAGGACTTAGCAAAGCCTTGCACAAGGTTACAGCTCTAGAATGGCTCCGTTTGGGTCATGTGCACTTCTGTGAACTGGGCAGACCTCTTGATTGATGGTCCTCTGGAACCACACGGACTGGGGAAGAGGTGTTTCCCAAAAGGAAGCAACTATCAGCCAGCCTGACACAGGGAAGGAGACTTAGAAGGTGGGCCTTATGCCAAGGGGAGCAAAGGACATCTGTTTCTTTTTTGCCTTTCCTCGTTGCTTCCTTTTGAGAAGGCACAAAAGAAACAGCGGTCCCTCCCTTGAGTACCTGTTGTGGCTCTGAAGGCATAAACCATTCAGAAAGTTCAGCAGCTGAACAGCCACATAAGAGGCAGACACAGGGCCGCAGTTCCCAGGAGCCAGCTCAGCTGATGTGACAGAGTGACAGCTGTCAGTTCACTTCACCTGTCTGAGCTCCCACCACCTGGGGGTAACAATGCCTGACCCAAATTGCTCAGGGAACCATGGTGAGACCCATTTTCTTCACCCACACCACCTGGCCCTGGCTGACGTCTCCCCATCCTGGCTGGACACTGTGGGGGCCACCTCACTGAACTCTCTTTCCCCATTTAATTTATGCCCTCTTCAGTTTGTCCCCCTCACTGCTGCCATAGGGATTTATCTTCTAGACTTTTAAAAATAAAACTTTTTTTTTTGTCATTGTAATAAGAAAAAAAATCAAAGTGATGTTTCTAAAAGTAAAGCTGCGAGCCACATTGCAAGGTAGGTGTTGCTGCCCTTTTTCTACCTAGGAAGCCTCCAAGACATGAAGTCACTTGTCTGAGGCTCTGCACTTTGGAGAGGGCAGATCCTAGCAAGTGAAGGACCCAGCCTCTCGAGGATGACAATGGAAGGAACGTGGCTCCGCTTACTTAGCACAGCTGACAAATACGCATCAGATGCTAAGTACACGGCAGGCTGGATTGGACGTGGGGTGCAGTGATGAGCAAATCCAAGTTCAGGGCCTGTGGAAAGCAGACACACTAGACTGATCTCGCAGATGAGGGATCGTTACAGACAGGTTAAAAATGTTAAACAAAAGGAATGCATTTTCTGTGGCTATATAACAAGAGATCTGGACCCAGGAAGGGTGGTCAGGGCTCCCTGGGGAAGTATGCTTCAGCTGAAATCTCAACAACAGGTGAGCGACTCCGAGAAGGGCCACTGGGGAAGGGGGAGAGGGAAGAGCCTGGGAAAGGACTGGTGGAGGGAAGCAGGCGGCCCTATTGAGAAACTAAAAGGTGGACCCATGTGGCGGGGATAGGGGAGTTGGCAGGAGTAAGGGAGGATGGACCAAACTACCAGGCCACGGCACAGCATCTATAATTGATTCCACGGGCCCTGGGAAGACAGTGAAGGTCTCTGCAGCAGAAAATATGTCCCCAGGCAGGGGAATCTCTCTGGATGCAGGTGAAAAATGGGTAAGGGCCCTAGAGTGTGGACTTAAAGGGATCAGTTAGAGCTACTGCAGTTGTCCGCGCAAAAGGTTGATGGAGGCCTGGACCAGGCAATGGTAGGAGGGAAGGAGAGAAAGAAAGTGGGGAAGGTCAAAGCAACACAACGTGGAGACACATTGGCCATGCTCGGGGGCCTGGGTAAGAGGGAGAGGAGGCCCTGGGGAGGATGGTGGGAGGTCTGAGACTAAGGTCACAGGAACAGGTGGGTGTGGTGGGATATCATGAAATGTTTTGGACAAATGGAACCCCAAATGACCACAATATCCATGTGGACGTATTTTGAAAGACATTGAATAAAGCAGGCTGGGGCCCAGTGAGAGGATTAGCTGGAGACAGGAATTTAAAAGTTTATGCATAGAGATGGCAAAGGAAGTTGTCAGTGTGGGCGTCACTGCCCAGGAGTCAGGGCGAGGGGAAGGGTATGGGATCAGCTGGTTGAGGAGACTCCCAGTATAGAAGAGAAGCCTGCAAAGGAGACACAGTAGGAGCAGACAGAGAGCTAGAAGGAAAACCCAAAGAATGTAATGTCACCTATGCAAGGGAGAACACCTGTGCAAGAGAGAAAGACGGTCTACGGGGTCGGACGTTTCGGAGAACGCAGGCAAGATGTGAACTGAGAAAAGTACGTTGGATTTAGTGGCGGGGCGAATCACTGCTGACCTTCAGGGTTGTCTGGGTTGAGTGATGGACAGGAGCTCACATTTGAGGAGGTTGAGGCGTCAGTGGGAGAGGAGGCGTGGGTGGGAGGGGAGGTGTGTGAGAGGGTGGGGAGGTGAGAGTGGGAGGCGTGAGTGGGAGGCATGAGTGGGAGAGGAGGCGTGATTGGGAGGGGGCATGAGTGGGAGGGGAGGCGTGGGTGGGAGGCGAGAGGGGGAGGGGAGGCGTGAGTGGGAGGCATGAGTGGGAGAGGAGGCGTGAGTGGGAGGGGAGGCGTGAGTGGGAGGCATGAGCGGGAGAGGAGGCGTGAGTGGGAGGTGAGGCGTGATTGGGAGGCGAGAGAGGGAGGGGAGGTGGGACATAAGTGGGAGGCAGGGCTCGTGAGTGGCAGGGGAGGCATGAGTGGGAGGGGACATGAGTGGGAGGCGGGGCGTGAGTGGCGGGGAGGCATGAGTGGGAGGTGGGGTGTGAGTGAGAGAGGAGGCGTGAGTGGGAGGGGAGGGGTGAGTGGGAGGGGGCGTGAGTGGGTGGGCAGGCCAGAGTGGGAGGGGAGGCATAAGTGGGAAGGGAGGCGAGAGTGGGAGGGGAGGTGTGAATGGGAGGCGGGGCGTGAGTGGGAGAGCGGGTGTGAGTGAGAGGCCGGGTGCGAGTGAGAGGTGAGGAAGTGGTGACAGCGGCATGGGCCACTGTCAGAAGTTCAGCTGTGTGTGGGGGTGGGGAGGGAGGACGTTCTCAGGGCGCCCTCTCAAAGTATTCAGGGCCCCAGTGAAATGTCACCACTGCCCAAGACCATCCCTGACCTCCCCTGTGCCGCAGATCCCCCTCGTTCTCCACTGTGCCTTATCACCAGTCTATGTGCGTCTGTCTGCTCGTCTCCCCTGCCCGGGGCAGACAGCGCCATGAGGCAGGACTTGGCCCCCAGCTCCCAGTCCAGTGAATGGCAGACAGCCGGTGCTTCCCAGCAAGTGGCTGAAGGGATGCATGAGTAGGGTGGAGGGCTGGTCTTCGCCAAGGAAGGGGAGGAAGCAGCAGACTGCGCTCCACTAAACAAGGCTGGGGAGCCTGAGGCTGAGGGAATCCCTGCCAGATGACTAGAATCTTCTATGTGAAATGGGAGGTGAGGCCTTGACTCAGAGTCAGAGGCGGGGACATGGGCAGGACAGGACTGTGAGAAGGGTTGGAGATTTGAGCAGAGAAAACAAATTAATGTTAAAAATCTCTCTAAGATGTTTTAATTAGTTAACACTTACTTGGCACCCTAGTAGTAGGTATGGTCAATATCTCCATCTTTCAGGTGGGGAAACTGAGTCTGGGGGAGGCTGAGGAATTTGGAAGTGGTTGAGCCCGGCTGACTGCAAAGCCCCAGGGTCTGAGCCGTGCTTCTCCCTGTGCACACCATGCCCGCCTGCCCAGCGCCAGGACTTCCCCCGCCTAGACCACTACCAGCACTCACCTTGTCTCTGCGTTCCATCTCCAAGGAAGTCTCCGAGGGAGACGTCTTCTCGCTCTGCTCCCCATAGATCAGCGAGGTCAAGCTGCCAGCCAGGGACGGGGCAGGGAGGTAAGAAAGGAAAGAAAAGGTCCCAGCTGCCTGCCCTGCTCCCTCTCCACTCCCTGGCTGAGGGCTGCCCTCTGCTCTGCAAGGGGCAGGCATGCCTCAGCTCCTTTGCTGAGCACACAGCTCTGGGCATAGACAGCAATCGCCCCTGAGCCAGGTGCACCAGGCATCCTGGGAGTCCAGTCACGTGATCCAGAAAGTCTAAGACCAGAGAAAAACATGGCCTTGTGCCCAGGGATGGCTGCCCTCCAGGTCCCCTTCTTGCAGGGAGGGCAGAGCAGGGGCAGAGGCCACCTGCTGGCGAGACACCTGCTGCAGCTTGGGCACTGGGCAGAGCCGCGTCCTGACCATGGCAGCAGGTTCTCCCCAAGGGGGCAACAGCTCACCCATCTCAACCCCTCCTCACCTGTCATTATGTATCAGCAGAGCCAGGCGCCCATAGTCCCACGCAGCTTTCCGGAGGAAGGAGTAAACCACAAGGACGAGCTACAGGCCAGGAAAAGCAATGTGGGGTGGGAGAGTTCATGGATCCCTTCCCCTTGGCTGGCCCCCCGCATTCCCTTGGGGGAGACCCTGTCCCTAAGGTCCCCAGGGAGCTCCTCCACTAGAAGGTGAGCTCTGTTGGAGTAGGGGCCATTCCTTTCAACTGTGGGTTGCCAGCGCCCAGCAGCTGCTGGGTACAGAGTGGATGCTCAGAGTTCGTTGAATAAAGGAGCTGGTGGTATGTTCAGAACTATGGGACCAGAATGTGCCTTGAAGACCTCAGCAGTGAGAAACAGGCAGGAGGCCAGGTGGACCTTTGGACAATGATGCATGGAAGAGAATCCCAGGAATTCTGCCTGTTCCTCCAGCCTCTTCTCTCTGAGGCCCACCTACCCGGGCCACCCTGGGCAGGACTGACATTCAGGTAGTTCGTATCATTGTGGCTGCTGTCCATCTGGACAACTGGGTCCCCCACTGCATCACCTGTGAAAGTTCAACCCTGTCTGAGGCTTTACTGTCTGCCTCCTACAGTGCCCAGGACTCACCACCCACAGGGCGATGTTGAGGCACAGCACGGTGGGGACACCCCCGAAGGGCTGCCCCTGGAGGACGGTGCTCCGAGACTGGAAGCATTCGTCCACTGTCATGTTCTTTAACCTTCCCCCTGTACTCAGTTCCTCCGGTGAGGCAGACATCCTGGGAGGTTCCCTGGGGAACAGAGGGCGTCCAGGTCAGACACAAAGATTCCCTTGCATTTTGCAAAACACAGAAGCCTGATGGGGAGTTGTGGATGGGCACCGAGTGCCTTGGCGAGGCTGGGTCACTCCATACCCAAGACAGGAAGGTGAGCCCACGAGACGGCACACAGCCCTGTCCTGCAAGAGAACAGCTGCCTCACGCCCAGGACCGGATGACAGACTGGCTCCGGTTTCCTGGGAGAGTTCTTATTTTGTACCACTGAATCTCTGGAACGAGAGCTGTAAAGTGCACATCCAAATGGGTCTTTCCAGTTCTACCTTGGGAAGTTTTTCTTGTATATAAATGAACAAATCTCACAAAGGTGGGTCAGACCCCAGCGTGGAAATGTTCATGTTGGAGGTCAAAACCGCTGTGTTCACGGAACGCCCGTGCAGATAGGGCTCAGTCACAACCATCTCTGCATTCAACAATCTCTGATCCAGTCACCATCCAGCCATGGTAAGGGCCACAGCTCTTAGGGGATGCAGTGCCTGGCACGTGCAGTGACTCAAGAAAGGCCCCTGTCTTTTTTTTTTTTTTTTTTTTACCTTTTGTGGGTACATAGTAGTTGTATATATTTACGGAGTACCTGAGATGTTTGATACACGCATGCAATGAGATATAAGCACATCAGGATAAATGAGGTATCCATCCTTTTGAGCATTTATCCTTTGGGTTACAAACAATCCAATTATACTCTGTTAGTTGCTTTAAAGTGTACAATTAAATTATTTTTGACTATAGTCACCCTGCTGTGCTAGTAAATACTAAGTCTTATTCATTCTGTTTTTTGGTACATATTAAGCATCCCCACTCCCCACCACCCCCATGCCCTTCTTAGCGTCTGGTAACCATCCTTCTACTCTCTATCGCCATGAATTCAATTGTTTTAATTTTTTGCTCCCACAAATAACTGGGAATATGTGGAGTTTGTTATTTCTATGCCTGGCTTAGAAAGGTCTCTGTCTTGCAGGCATTTGAACTAGGGAGACCAGCACCTGCCCAGGGACCTGAGCCAACTCTGCGAGCCTGAACATTCTGGTGAGACATCAGTGCAGAGCCTGCCATCCCTGGCATCCCATTCCTCAGGCATGGATAAGAGTGGGAAGGGCGAGTGAAAATGGGAGGTGTTTGGTAGCTACTTGAACTTATCTGCAAGGTGGTTCTTCTCTCAAAAGACTGTTCATTTTGCCTTCAGACCTCACCTCTACCTGGAAACCCCTCACTTCCATTCAAGCAAAGTAGACTCATTCATCCATTCATTGATGCACTTGAGTATTTGGTGAGCAACTGCTTTATGCTAGACAAATGCACCAGTGAACAAGATAAATAAAAACCCCTCCCTTGTGGGATTCCACTGGGGAGACAAAGTGGAGGGATGCAGGTGAGGTTAGAATTGTAAAGGGGTGATTAGGGAAGGCCTCACTGAGAAAATGACATTTGAGCAAGGACTTGGAGTGAAGCATGCAGTTGCGGGGGAAGAGCACTTTAAGCGGAGGAAAGGCCCTGGGCTTGGAGCTTGCCCAGAGAGCTGGGGAAGCAAGCAGATCAGTGGGCTGCACAGGGCAGGGTGAAGGGCATGGGGAGTGAGCCATGGAGTGAATTAAAATGACTTTTTTTTTTTGTTTTTAAAGAGAGAGAGAGACTTGCTCTGTCACCCAGGCTGGAGTACGGTGGCACGGTCCTAGCTCACTGTAGCCCCCAATTCCTGGGCTCAAGCAATATTAAAGAGTAGCTGGGGCTACAGGTGCATGCCACCACACCAGGCTAATTCTTAACATTTTTTGATAGAAACAAAGGTCTCACTGTGTTGCCCAGGCTGGTCTCAAACTCCTGACCTCAAGTGATTCTCCTGCCTTGGCTTCCCAAAGTGCTGGGATTACAGGCATGAGGCACTGAACCTAGCCCACAATAACTTGCTTTAATGAGAACTCTTTGATCCTCATATGGAGACTAGGTGAGGGAGCAGGAGGGGTGAACAAGCAGAGAAGCAGACGTGGAGAGCTCAACCAAGGTCTGAGCAGGAGACAATGGTAGCCTGGACTGGGATGGGTGCAGTGGAGGTGGGAGATGTGCTCAGATTTTGGAAATATTCTGAATGTGGAACCAACAAGATTTGCCAGCAGATTAGACAGGGGATGTAAAAGAGTGAAAGGAGTCGAGGATGACTCTCAGGTTTTTGGCCTGAGCCACTGAAAGATAGAGTGGCTCTTATGGAATGGGAGAGGCAGAAAGTGCAGGATGGAAATGGACAGTGGAGGGGGAGTGGGTGCAGGGGTGCGACCAGGAGTTGAGTTTGGAACATGCTAAGGGGAGATGGGGAACAGAGAGTTGGAGAGGTGAGTCTGCAGTTCAGAAGAGACGGGAGACATAAATTTGAGACAAAAGCCACCAGCATAGCGACAACTCTTGGAGGAAAAGCCCTGAATTACAGAAGAGAATGTAGCAGGAGGAGAGATCCAAGATGGGAGCCTTGGGTGCGCCAATATCTACAGGGCAGGGGAGGAGAAAACAGAAGGACACTGAGAAGCAGCAGCCAGGGAGGAAGGAGGAAAAGCAGGAGAGGGTGGTGTCCTGGGTTGAATGAAGACAATGTTTCCAGGAGGAGGGAGGAACCAGTGTTGATGTGGTCAAGAAAGATGACAACTGTGAATGATCCATGGTGTCTCTCTCTCTCTCTTTCTCCTTCCTTTCTCTCTCTCTCTCCTTCCTTTCTCTCTCTCTCTGCTTCCTCTCTCTTTCCTTTCTCTCTCTATCTCCTTCCTTTCTCTCTCTCTCCCTCTCTCTCTTTCACTTGAGGCACGAGCCACTGCGCCTGGCCAAATTAGCCATGGTTTAAGCCATGTGCAAGTGGCCAGACTGGAATAGGCTCCAGAGAGAATGACAGGAGAGGAATTGGAGCCAGTGAGCAAAAACAGCTCTCTGGAAGAGTAATTGGAGGTGAAAGTGGTTAAGATGGGAGAAATAACACATTGTATAGTGGTGGGAGTGATTCAGTAGAAGAAGTAGGAGGAGGGGGGGACTGCTGGAGCAAAGTGAGACTGTGAGAGGGTTGGGAACTAGCGCACAGTGGAGATGTTTGCTGAGAGCCAGGCTGTTGGCTGGGTGAGCGTGAGGGAAGGCAGCACACATGCCCAGGTGCTGGCTGGTCCCAGGGGTGGCAGCAGGAGCCAGTGACTGTTCTGTCCTTACTGCTTCTAGTTTTTTTTTTTTTTTTTTTTTTTTGAGACAGAGTCTCACTCTGTTGCTCAGGCTGCAGTGCAGTGGTGCCATCTTGGCTCACGGCAACCTCTGCCTCCAGGGTTCAAGCAATTCTGCTACCTCAGCCTCCTGAGTAGCTGGGACTACAGGTGCCCACCACCACACCTGGCTAAATTTTGTATTTTTAGTAGAAATGGGATTTCGCCATATTGGCCAGGCTGGTCTTGAACTCCTGATCTCAGGTGACCCACCCACCTCGGCCTCCCAAAGAGCTGGGATTACAGGCATGGGCCCCCATGCCCAGCTTTGCTTCAAGTTTCTCAGTAAAAGAAGGAATGAGGTCTCAGCACAGTGTGAGGTGGTGGTGGTGGGCGGATGTTGGATGTTTGGGGACAGGAAAAAAAGGTAGAAATAGAAGTCTAGGGGAACGAGAGAGGATGGATTAGGGAAATGGAGCAGGATTGCCAGGCAACAGTGGGGCCCATGGAGGCTCATGATCTTGAATTGATGAGAGCAGTCAGACTTGCTATGCTGGATTCACCTGTATGGTTGCAGGTGTGGAAGACTTAGTTGGGGTAGAGGTTTCCCCAAGCAAGTATGAGCATAAGACAAGAGGGTTGATGGTGTAGCACGTGAATAATTGTAATGATTTGCCATGGAATTTGAGCCAGGAGAGAAATAAGATGCAAGATGGGTGAGGACCAGGGAAAGGTACTAGAGTTTCAAGGGGAGATAGAATTGTGGACGACTAGTGGGTGCACAGCAGAGGGAGTTGCACTCAGAAAGTGGGATGTTGGGATGTTTGGTGCTGAGATGAAAGAGATTCCAGCTATTGGTGGTGATCGGGTCTCGGGCATGACCATGGGAGCGAGCAGTTGAGTATCAGAAGGATCATCTTTGTGGAGATGTGGACATAGACATCAGCAAGAATGAAGACAGGAAAAGCACTGGGGAGACAGTCAGGGGGGAAGGGGAGAGTAGCCTGGGGGACTCCTTAATGACTAACAAGATGTCTAGGCTGACATCTGTGGGTCCAAGACAGGGGGCTTTAGAAAGCAGGGAGGAAGAGTCTCAATGTTGCCAAGGGGAACAAGAAAGACATGTCTCCATCCCCAGACCAGTGGTGTTGGTGGGGAAGCAGGAACCGCCCTCTGAGAGGGTGGTAAGGGAAGCTGGGCTGGGGAGTCTCCCAGTCAGAAGGTGAGGAGACAGAGGAGCTGGGGATGCTTCTGAGGATTATGGGTTCTGCGACCCCGAATCTCAGCTCTAATGCTCGCTCATTGCTCATCGGGTGACCTTGAGCAAGGCACTTATGGTCTCCATGCCTCACTTTACTCCTCTGTAAAGTGGAAATGGCAACAGCCATTAGTACCCACTTCACAGGGCTCTTAAGAGGAGTGAGTTAGGATGTGTTCATCTTGTAGAACAATGCCTGGAACACGGAGCATCACATAAATATTTGCAAAATGAAGAATGGAGATCCAGGGGGCACCATGGAAAGGTTCCAGGAGTTGGAGAGGGCTGAGAGATGCGGATGGAGCAGGAATGAAGGTAAAGGGATTGAAGCAGGGGATGGGAGGTGGCCTGGGAGTCTGGGCTGCTTGCGCTCACTCACAGAACCTGCGATGGAGGGCCTGAGAGTAGCCCTGGAAAAGGAAGGGGTGCACAGAACTCTTCCCACTCCCACCCTCTAGATTAGCATCTAGCAGGATCCGGGAGTCTCTTGCTTGTCTTTCTCAGTTTCCCTAATTCCTGCTCCATCGAGCTCTGCCTAGGCCACCCATGGTTTCCTTGTTTCTACCCCAGCTGGCTAATTAACTCACTCACTAGCACGTTTAGCCAAATGCAAACTCGTAATAGTTACATCGAACACAGTACACTTTAATGGCATGCCTTCTGCCAAAGCATCAGAGTAGCGGCCAATGGCATTTCTAGGGTCTCTTGGAGGAAGGAGCTGGCATCTGAGCTACCTCGGGCTCTAGGTCAGCTACGGCAGGAGGCTGCAGTTCTGCTGGTGGTCACTGGGAGGAGCCCGCGCTAAGGAAGCGGGCAGGGGAAGGCGAAGGAAAGGCGATCCTGCAGGTGGAGAGGCCTGGGGAGACTTTTCCCACCTGAGTCACGTCTCCAGTGAAGGTCCACGTCAGGCCCAGAGGCTCCACTCAGCTACGGGGCTGCTGCAAAAGAACAAAATGCGGTGGAGAGACTACAAGACTTACAGACCCAGGAACTCCCTTGCCGGCAGCACCCTCCTTCAGGGCCCCTTTGGTCATCTTTATGCTCAAATGCACACCCTTTATTAGAGCTCTGCTTTGCAAACAGTTTCTCCTGGTCTATTGCTTTTCTTTTCATTTTCTTGATGGTATCTTTTGAAGTACAGAAGTTTTGAATTTTGACAAAGTGACCAAGCTGAGATGTGAAGGGGGTGTAGGAGTTAGTCCTGTGCAATGGGAAAGCCTGGGCAGAGGCACCCATATTGGCAAAGACCCAGAGGGAAGGCTGAATATAATGTTTTGAGGAAGTGAAAATGAATGGCAGTGGCTACAGTGCAGAATAGATCACTATTGGCCCATTCATTCATTCACTCAACAAGAATACATTGAGTATCTATTTCCCCTGGAAGTACAAACATGAGGCCCTCTCTAGGGAGCTCACATCCCAGCCTTTGGGGTTAGGGAGAGGACTGCTGTTGGGCGGCTTGGACCAGGTGGCCCTTCTGCCTGGGAGGACCCCTAGTTACAAGGCCCCAGCCACTAAGCTTGGAGTGGGGCAGAAGGTGGGGAATTCCATCAAGCAGGTTGGTCAGATGCAGTTTTTCAGCTCAACCTGACTGTTCAACCTGCAGGGCAGTGAGGGAGGAAAAGAAAGGAGACAAGATCCTCACCGTCTCCCACCTCACCACCCTCCTCAGCTTTCCCAGGCAGCAAGCAGAGGCAGTAATGAGGGAGGCTGTTGCTGTGGAAACCTAGAGCAGCACCAAGCCTTTTCTCCTCATCCCTTCACCCTCCCTGGACCTTACTTCTTTCTGGAGGGAGACCTAGCTCTTGGGTGCAAAGAAGGCAGGCAGAAAATCCAGATTTTGGCTTACTGGAGACTAAAGCATCAGCACAGGAAAGAATGAAGCTAGAAACTCTGGGATGCCAACAGAAAACACAGCAGGGCCACCAGCTTAGACATCACTTTCACAGCATAGGACAAAGGCTGCCTGAGGCAATGGGAAGGATCAGGCTCTCTGAAGCCACTGACTGTACTTAATCCTAGATCCACATTTGCTAGCTTTGTGACCAGGGGCAGTGACTTCATCTCTCTCAGCCTCAGTTCCCATATCTGGAAAATGGGTATAATAACAGTATTGCCTCGCAGGGTTATTGCAAAGGGGAAGGAAGATAGTTCACACAAATCCACTTGTACAATGCTTGAGAAATATGACTGCTTAATTAGCCAGCGCTGCTGTCCCCTTCATCATCAGCTTATTTGTCAGGCTATGGTGAGAGGCCCAGACTGCACAGTCCCCACACTCCTCCTTCCAGCCTCTCTGTTCTGGGGCAGGCAAGAGGAGAGATGTGAGGATGGAAAGGTCCATCCACTATCCCTTAGTCTGCAGCTGGTAGGTGGTGGTTGTTTCTGTCCTTCCTGTGCATAAGAAACAAATGTCAGCCTTGCTTTGTGGGCCAAAGAGGGGCAGTGGGAGATGATGTGAATGCTGGTTGATGAGTCAGGGTTTCAGGTCCCCTCCTAGCTGCACATCTTATCTGATGGGAAAGTGTGTGGCTGTCTTCCTGTCCCATTTCTCTTCCATCCTGGGTTCCTATGCCAAAAGCTGGCAGCTCAGCTGTTCTAGGCTTGGGCAAAGTTGTCCTTGGCAACTGGGCAAAGGCTTCAAAAAGAGCTAGCTTTGCCTTTCTGTCTGCCCCATCCTACTGCTCACTCCCAGGCCTCCAGACCTAGCCTGCTTTCATCCACTGCTGCCCTAACTAGCAAGGCCAGCACTTTGCTTCCCACTTCCCCTTCCAGATGAGTTAGACATCTCAAGGCCAAAGCCAAATCTCAGGGATGACCCCAGAGTTAGGATGGTCCAGGAGAGCCTAGGGAGGGATGAATTTTATTAATAGCTATCATTTACAGAGCAAGTAATATGGGCTAAATATTTTCTATTTAAGTACTAGCTCATTTAATTCTCATAAGTACCCTAGGGTATGAGAATCATCCCTAAAGGCAAGATAAAATTAAGGCCCAGAGAGGTTAACTGGCCCGAGGTCATGGTGCTAGTGAGTGGCAGAGCTGGCCCTGAAGCCAGACCATTTGTAACCCTCTGCTTTGCTGGCCCTGAGCCTCTGCTGCTCTGGACATGCGGAGCAGGGGGCAGAGGAAGGGGATGACCTTGCTCAGACTTTAGTCCAGGGACAGCAGCTTCCCTAGCCTTTAGGGTGATGCAGCAGAGAGCAGGGTGGGCTGAGCCAGGAACCCAAGCTGGATCTGCAGCCACTGAGCCTGCATTTCCCAGCACAGCCCAGGGCCCAGTCTGCTCCACCATCCCCATGAGTTCTCAGGAACTGGTCCATAGGGCATGTGTTTTGGTTTGGATTAGAGAATCACTATAGCCACAAGCCATGTCCTAGGAAAAGATGCTACAGATAGGGAGCCACCCCCACCTTCTCCCCTGACCCCATGACCCCCAGAGTGCACAAAGCCACAGCTCCTGCCCTGCCCTCTTACCATTTAGCCTTCCCAGTAGTTTCAATAATTAATCACCTTTTTGTAAACAACAGGTAAGATTATCTCCCATAGTTCTGGACTTAAACAAACAAGCTGGGATTCCTGGTCCTGGGCATCACCTCCCACCTCCTCTTCTTCCTTCTTCTCCAGGTCTCCTGTCCTGCCCCCATCACCTCTTGCCCCTTCTCACTGAGGGCCCCCCTCTCAGCGAGGTTCACTCTCACAGCTAGGGGGCTGGGTACTATTGGGGGAGGTGTGGAGAGAGGGAGGGTGTGTCACTGGAATGAAGGGCTCTGGTTCACATCCTTTACCACTGACATGTCCGCTGGCCATAAATCTTTCCCTAAATATCAGTAAGCCCTTCCCTGCTCCATACCATCCTCAAACTCCTCAAATCTTCACGACAAAGAGTGGTTTGCTCAGCTTTACACATAGAGAAATTGAGTCTCCAGCAGACATGGAGATTTGCTTAAGGCTGGGGAAAATGGTGGATTGGGGATAGAACTGGGGTTTTTGGCTCCCCACTCACTGCTTTCAGTGACTCCTTAGCCTGGGAGGGGGTCACTGGAATCACCTAGAAGGTGTTTAGTAAATCTAGATACTCATGTTCCACCCCAGACATTAAGCATGAGGATCTCCAGTCAATTATTGTGTGCAGCCAAGACATAAAAGCACCAGACTGAGATTTCCAGGGTTATTTGCACCTAGAGAAGGAGTTCTTGATGACCCCAAAAGTTTTCTCACTCTTCCTAAATAAGGAGAGAGGGTGGGGAGATGTGGGGGTAAAGGATGATACCTCACTGCCTCTTAAACCATGTCACAGCGTGGCAGTTCACGAGGCTGGTCCTTATATTCTCCTCCCATGCAATCTCTTCCCCCTCCCCAAGCTGGTCGCAAATCTGTGGAGAGTTGGCTGAAAATCTACAGAGGCCCACACCACCTCTTCACTGGAAGTTCCAGGCTCTGGTATTCCTCCCGTTACCCCAGAGGCCACTGGCCTGGCTACTTCCTCAGGGTACTCTCTGTTCTGCCCCACCAGCCCCCTTATTTAGAGTTGCTTGCCCCACCCCTACACAGCTTGAGGCACTTCTTCCTGGACTTTGGTGAGCCTTGGTCTCATCAGCATTTAAAGCCCCTGAGTCCAGCTTATATTCTACTCCTCTGAACCTTCTTTCAGATGACCAGCCCTGTCTGCACCTTGTTCCCACCCTCTTCACACAGCTGGCCTTGCAACCACTGCCTGGGACTATCCTCTCACTTTTCCACGCACATGAGCAGCCAGCTCCCCAACAAATCCATGGGCTCTTTGATAGTAGGACCATGTCTTTCTCTTATATTTTCCATGGTTCTCCCAAAGACCATCACATAGTCGGCCTCAATGAGACAGAAGGCCCTTTACCCAGAGACACACTCAGGGGTAGGAAAGAATAAAATGTAGGTGGTTTGCACACATTTGCACAGTGCACAGAGTACATGAGTCCCAAATTTTTGCCCCCACATAGCGCACATTGGTTACCAAGTTTCCCTCCCCAAGTCACTGCAGGGAGCGGAAGGAGCATACAGCTGCAGGTAAGGAGACTGGGTGTGAATCTGGCTCTACTGTTTAGCAGCTGCTATTTAACCTCTTGCTATTCAGTTTTTTTCTTGAAGATCATATCTGTCCTGCATATACCAGGGTGGTTATGAGGGTTAGTTAAAGGAGATAGTGCATGGAGACTCTTTCTGTAAACTGTGCCACAAACATAAGTTGTTGCTTTTGCTGTCCTCTTCATAGGATCGAAGCCAGCCTTCCCTTAGAGGTCCCCAAACATCCCCTCCGCCACAGTGGCTCCTGAAGCCTCAGCACGTGGTGAGAGGATTGGAGTTCCACCTTGCCATTGGGCCCATGATGTAAGCAGGGCAATGATACCGTCGCTCCTGGCTGGGTCCAGCAGGGCTCTCAGTACCATGGACAGCACCATGCTGGGCAAAGGCATTTCCGCTTCTGCTGCTCTCTGCCAGGGCTCGTGGGCAGGGCCAGGCAATTCTTGCTGGTGCCTCAGCCCAAGAATAAGAATAACAGCTAACACTTATTGAGTGAGTTCTATGTGCCAGGCCCTGTGCCAAGTCTCTTCAGGTGTCGACTGGGTTAAACCTATCAGGTTGCATGTGGGACACGGTTGATGCCCTTAGCATCCCTTCCCACCTCTGTGCCTTCCTATCTTGCAGAAGCTGGAAAGTTAAACGCTACATTACCAACACTCCCTTGCAGCTGGGGTTCTGGATACAGATTAGAGCCCATCAATTAGACATGCTGGAGATAGATTTACAAGGCTGAAGGGAGGAGAGGGAGGAAGAGGCCATCTCCCTGATACTCAGGCGGCGTTCTGCTGACAAGCCATGTCAAGGACAGGAAGGGAGTCTCTGCAGGAAGTTCAATGCCCAGTCTCTGGCTCCCAGGGAGCGGGTGGGGTGAGAGGCAATTGTGGTAAAAGCTGCAGCAGTTTTCTTATCCCTGGGTAGCAGGTGAAAGGACGTGAACTCCATGGCTCCAGTAATGGCCCTCCTGACTTGGAGAGAAGTAATTTGTCTGGAGGGACAGTTCTGCTCTGTTCTGAAGACCCAGTTTCTAATTTTTCCAGTGACTTCAACACCCTGCGGTTCCCTGTGTGAATCAAGCTGACTACAGCCTCATGTCCCAGTCCTGGTTTTACTTGAGATTCCTAGAGTGTTTTTTGTTTCCTATACAAATACCAGGCAGGTTATATTATTATCCCATCTTATGAATGAGGAGTTTCAGGCCCAGAGAGGTTAAGAGACTTGCCCAGATCAGGGAGCTAGTACCGTGAAGTTAGGGCCTGAGCTGGGGGGCTGCTTCCCCAGCCCCCTCCTGATCACTTTGCTGTGTGCCACCCTCAAGGCAGAGAACACTGATTCCAACAAGCAGGAATGAAGCTGCTAGGGTCAAGACAGAAGTACATCAAAAAAAGGAAAGGCTGACAGGGAATACTGGGACCACACTCCAGGTTCACGTGGGTGTAGCCCCTGAGGAGGCCTCAGGAGAGGAAAGGGGCAGGAGAGGATATGGGCATTTGTGATGGGCCAGGCCTTCTTATGACTATCCCACTGAACATCGTTTATTCCTCACAAGCAACCTGAGAGGTAGCAGCCTAAGAAGTAAAAATCAGTATCCCCATTTTATATATAGAGAAACTGAGGCTCATAGAGGTTAAGTAACGGCCTAAAGTTACACAGCTGGAGAGAGAGAGAGGCAGGATTGGAATCTAAGTGTCTGGCTCCACTACATCATGCAGCCTCTGAAGGCACAATTCCAGGAGGACTGTATTTCTGGGGTACAGGAGGGTGGCCTCCCACATCTGTACTACATTTAAGGGACTCTCAACTAAAGAGAAGGACCAGGCAGCTTCTATTATTATCTCATCTTATAAATGAGGAATTTCAGGCCCAGAAGGTTAAGAAACTTATCCTCTTAACACCTCTGCGGGTGGCAGAGGGAGCTGGGATGCCATCAGGACAGAAGGTGGCCACTTGGACCCAGGCTGGAAGCTGAGAGTGTTGGCTTCCCCACCCCATCCATCTCACCTCTGGTACCCCCCCAGAGATGCCTCTCC